TTCTTAAATAGAACGTGAGATACAATGGACATAATAATTTGTAAGTGTTTATTATTAAGCCTACATCACGAAAATTCATACGTCTTTTACATATATCAAATCGTTTTAGACCAAATAATTTTTATGGCTTTTTACAGAAATCTTGGAACAAATTATATATTCGCGACAAAGATCTTCAAATTTTGTATATTAGCAACGTACATTGTTAGTAACGCGAATTACAAAATTTATCAGTTTATTAATAATACATAAATATAAGATTACATCGTCTTTATACAATGGTGAATAATTGTTATAAGAAGTATTAATAAAAAATTTTTCTGAGTAATTACTTCACTTGAAAAGTTACATGTGTTTAGAGTTATATAATATTAAACATAATTATTTTAAACTCGTAGCATAATGGTTACCAATTACAAATCTAATTTAAATAATCATTTTCAATATAGGTTGGAAATAAGAGAAAATGTTCTGAAATTTTGGAACGTACGTCAATTAAGAAACAATGTTTACAAGATTTATCAAAAATATATTTATCATATTTAAAGCTTTATATCACTCCACTGTTCGAGACCTTGAATAACATTACAAAATGGTTGAATTTAACAGATGTGAATATATCAAGTAACAACATTGATCTGTTGCCGAGAAAATTGGGCGCTTTTCATTGTCTTCGACGGCTTAATTTATCACATAATTGTTTGAGTCGATATTCTGGATGGGCATGGCTAAAAGAAGCACGAATTAAGAGAACTTTACGTTTTCTAGATATAAGTAATAATTCGGTAAATCATCATAAGATATCACGACAATCATTAATCAAAGCAGTGTTGTCATAAATAACAATTAATAGTTCATTAATAGCACGGTCATCATGAATATCATTAATTTACAGCTTCTCGAATTATCGATATACATTTGGAGTTTAAATGCCTTAGTAGAATTGAAAATAAGTCACAACATGTTGAAATGTTTACCACAGGGCATTGAAAAAGTTCAAAATCTTAGTATTTTGGATGTGTCGCATAACATGTTAATGTATCTGCCTGCAGGGATCAATTATTTGCGACTGCAAACTTTAGATATTTCAATGAATCCATTAGTAGTCGATCGCCCAGAATTTATTAATGAGATAATAATCCCAAGCCTTACTCAGTTTGCAGCAAAAGTATTGCACCAATATTGTAGGTACGTTGTTTTTTTCTACTTGTTATGTACTACAATGTAATTTTAGTAAAAATATCACACAAGTTTCTATTTGATAATTTACATTTGATAATTTGTAATAAACAAAATCAATATTTTCACAGAGATGAACATATAATTTTTCGATGGGATGATTTGAATGAACATATAAATAGAAATAAAATCGATAATTGCTTCTATTGCCGAAACATTTGTACATCTCCTTACGTATACGCAACTCAGCTATTCAAACCTATATTTGAATTAGCTGTAACCGTAATAATAGAGACATCGGAATGGCCAGTAGTATTATTTGAATTATACTATTGCTTTCCTGAATGTAAAGAGGACGACTGGTAATGTAATAACAATTCGGATATATCTCGAAATTGAGAACACCGACATTTAAATTAACATTTATACCTAAAAAATACATTAACGGAATTTTGATTTTCTAATAAGTGCCTATTATGCTTATATTTCGATTATATTACGTAATATACAATCTAATAGGAACTTGACGTTGACAATTAACGAGCCTCATTTCTTCTTTACATTAGGACTAACATTCATAAGAATGTGATACAAATAATAATATCCGATAATAGAATACCATTTAATTCATTCTCTATAGCATGTATCAATTATTATATGATATAACGCAAATGTAAATATAATTAATTTGTATAATAATGTAATTGATTAAAGTTTTCTACTTGCAGTCAAATTCATTCTTGATATGAAATGTTTCATATCAGTATGAGATGGTTGCGAAAGAACAACTTGCGAAATCAATATTTTATTATAAAGCGCTTAAAATAATACAACGTAAAAATAATATGATATACACTACCTTGATAAAATAGTGTACAATTATAGTAATGCCAAAGAAAACTTATATTACAGTAATACATATGACAATATAATTATATATTTTATATAATATTATATAATAATATATAACATTTTGATAACAAATAAATTATTAATATATTATTAACAACGGTGAATAATTAAAAATATTTACATGTAGAGTATAATTAGTCATAGATATATGTCTAATTTTTGTGTATTATATGCGCATATACATTTGTATTATATATGTACTTAAAATTAATTTTTATATACATTATATCAACTTTCCATTTTAGTTGTTACTTTTGAGAAATGTTACATATAAGAATATATTTTAAATATAATTACATATAATATATAAAATATGTTAATTATATAAATAATTTTATATAATTTTGTATAATTATATTCATATATGAAACATTTTTTTCCCGGTCATAATGTTATCGATTGTCGAAGAAATAGATCTTAAAATATAATTAGTAATTACATAAAATCAGTAATTACAATTTTATCAAACTGAAGTTTTGTAATTATAAAAATATTTATAATAAAAAAAATATAAATAATTTTATCTGTACTTGAATATGTTGGATCACAAATAACCTCCTTTCATACCTATGATTATATTAACTAGATATAACAAAATCAAGAGCATTTGAGCAATTAAACATACTCTTCCATAAATAAATAAATACACACACACACACACACACACACGAATATTTTTACGGTATAAAGAAGGATGACACTTTTTAATATTAAATATGCTTTTCATGAATTACATTATTGATTTATTTTTAGTATTACATCATGAAAAATAATAACGTTATCACACAATCATTTAATTTAAGTTATAATTTTAAATTTAAAATATTGATTTTCATACTGTGTTAAACATTCGGTTCTATTACCGTCAATTTAACGTATAAGGCAATAAATAATAATTAAAGCATAACGGTAAGAGAGTGATGTTGATAAAACGTCACATTCAATATAATTTCGTTGAAAGGAATTTAAGATTGAAATTTAAGTATTGTAAATTAATTTTAAATCGATAAGAAGTTTCTTAAGAAAGAATAATTCTTAAGAATTGTTTATAATAAATATTATTACAATTCTTATGTTATTATAATTAACAACTCAGAATACGTACAAAATTTATTGGTTTGCGAATCACCATTGTAATAATAAAATTGATGATGAGATTATACGTATAATAAATAATGCAGAATATAATGACGAGTAATTTTATTTTTTGTTATTCAGTTATTTATTTGAAAAGTTATATATTTGCACTATATGCATTATAAATATTTTCAACTTGAAACTTAACATATTATTCACAGTCTTAATTTAGTCGTAACTTAGTTATTTGTTTGATTCTATTTCGTGTTATGGCCATACATAGCTGCGTTCCGAGTTACGCATGTTGTCATTTTATCTTTCTTCATTATTAGGTGAACAACACAGACAAAATGCATCATGCGCTTCATAATTCGGAACGTATTCATTATCAATATGATACTCCTAGAAATATCTGTTTGACATACGCGGTTTGTGCACATAGAAGCGTCATGAAAAGGAGATTTGTAAAACTGTGGACTGCATTCTTTCTACTCCACTTAACTCTTAGGTTTCTTTTTGAATTAAACGGGAATAAACCTCTAACATTTCTGATTAAAGATTGTGAAATAATAATGGATGATCGCTCTTGTTTCTGTTACGTCGTTGAGTTAAAAATGCAATTTTCTGAAAAATTTCTAACTTACGCTCATATTTAAATTGTAATTTAATCAAATTATTGTTTTTAACTTAAGTTTAATTTTTTATAACCACACATTAATAAAATTAAGTATTACATAATCAATAAATCAAATGCCAAATGTAGTTAAATGTACAGAAATGCACCTAACCCAAATGAGTACGGATTGATTTGCCCAGAACGTATTGATTTGCATAATCTCCATGAATCAAAATTTTGAATCCGCAAAAAAATATATTGAATTTATCGATGTACACAATTTTTCTTAAAATTTATTAAGTCGCGCAAGTAATTTGTAAAATATCTTTTAAAAATATTTAACATTTTAACATAAATTTAATTATATTTACATAAATTTTGAAAATTGGCTAACACATTTTATAAGGTTCAAAAAAATCGAATTTTTTGAAAAATACATGTAACGAGCGCATTATAATTGTTTTAATTTTAGTTATAATCTTTAATTTATAAAAAAATCGATGTTTACAATATACTGTTTCACATTTGTACCAATGTCACTTTAATATAAAACAACAAGTAATAACCAAATACGACAGTTATCTTGAGGCTCGTGTCAGAACATCTTAACTAATTTAAAATTAAAAAGAAAACCGCGATGTTATAAATTAGGAATTACAAATCTATGGAGTATTAAATTTTTCTACAAAAGCAGTAATAAAACAAGCAAGTGGATGATAAAAACAAGGCAGCAGACCTTTCTTTATTTAAATATTTAAAAATTTGGTTTCTTAAATAGAACGTGAGATACAATGGACATAATAATTTGTAAGTGTTTATTATTAAGCCTACATCACGAAAATTCATACGTCTTTTACATATATCAAATCGTTTTAGACCAAATAATTTTTATGGCTTTTTACAGAAATCTTGGAACAAATTATATATTCGCGACAAAGATCTTCAAATTTTGTATATTAGCAATGTATATTGTTAGTAACGCGAATTACAAAATTTATCAGTTTATTAATAATACATAAATATAAGATTACATCGTCTTTATACAATGGTGAATAATTGTTATAAGATGTATTAATAAAAAATTTTTCTGAATAATTACTTCACTTGAAAAGTTACATGTGTTTAGAGTTATATAATATTAAACATAATTATTTTAAACTCGTAGCATAATGGTTACCAATTACAAATCTAATTTAAATAATCATTTTCAATATAGGTTGGATATAAGAGAAAATGTTATGAAATTTTAGAAGATACAATTATGGAACGATGTTTACAAAATTTGGCAATTATATGTTTATCAGCTTTATATTTTTTATATTTAAAGCTTTTTTATATCACAGTTGAAGACCTTGAATAACATTACAAAATGGTTGAATTTAACAGATGTGAATATATCAAGTAACAACATTGATCTGTTGCCGAGAAAATTGGGCGCTTTTCATTGTCTTCGACGGCTTAATTTATCACATAATTGTTTGAGTCGATATTCTGGATGGGCATGGCTAAAAGAAGCACGAATTAAGAGAACTTTACGTTTTCTAGATATAAGTAATAATTCGGTAAATCATCATAAGATATCACGACAATCATTAATCAAAGCAGTGTTGTCATAAATAACAATTAATAGTTCATTAATAGCACGGTCATCATGAATATCATTAATTTACAGCTTCTCGAATTATCGATATACATTTGGAGTTTAAATGCCTTAGTAGAATTGAAAATAAGTCACAACATGTTGAAATGTTTACCACAGGGCATTGAAAAAGTTCAAAATCTTAGTATTTTGGATGTGTCGCATAACATGTTAATGTATCTGCCTGCAGGGATCAATTATTTGCGACTGCAAACTTTAGATATTTCAATGAATCCATTAGTAGTCGATCGCCCAGAATTTATTAATGAGATAATAATCCCAAGCCTTACTCAGTTTGCAGCAAAAGTATTGCACCAATATTGTAGGTACGTTGTTTTTTTCTACTTGTTATGTACTACAATGTAATTTTAGTAAAAATATCACACAAGTTTCTATTTGATAATTTACATTTGATAATTTGTAATAAACAAAATCAATATTTTCACAGAGATGAACATATAATTTTTCGATGGGATGATTTGAATGAACATATAAGTAGAAATAAAATCGATAATTGCTTCTATTGCGGAAACATTTGTACATCTCCCTACGTATACTCTGCTAAGCTATTGAAACCTATATTTGAATTAGCTGTAACTGTAATAAAAGAGACATCGGAATGGCCAGTAGTATTATGTGAATTATACTATTGCTTTCCTGAATGTAGAAAGGACTACTGGTAATCTAATAACAATTCGGATATATCTCGAAATTGAGAAGACCGACATTTAAATTAACATTTATACCTAAAAAATACATTAACGAAATTTTGATTTTCTAATAACTGCCTATTATATTTGTATTTCGATTATATTACGTAATATACAATCTAGTAGGAACTTGACGTTGACGACAATTAACGAGCCTCTTCTTTACATTAGGACTAACATTCATAAGAATGTGATACAAATAATAATATCCGATAATAGAATACCATTTAATTCATTCTCTATAGCATGTATCAATTATTATATGATATAACGCAAATGTAAATAAAATTTGTATAATAATGTAATTGATTAAAGTTTTCTACTTGCAGTCAAATTCATTCTTGATATGAATATCAGTATGAGATGGTTGCGAAAGATCAATTTGCCAAATCAATATTTTATTATAAAGCGCTTAAAATAATATAATGTAAAAATAATATAATATACACTATTTTGATAAAAGTAATGTCAAACAAAACTTGTATTACACAGTAATACATATGACAATATTATATAATTATATACTTCATTATATAATATCATTTTGATAACAAATAAATTATTAATATATTATTGACAACGGTGTATAATTAAAAATATTTACATGTACAGTATAATTAGTCATAGATATATGTCTAATTTTTGTGTATTATATGCGCATATACATTTGTATTATATATGTACTTAAAATTAATTTTTATATACATTATATCAACTTTCCATTTTAGTTGTTACTTTTGAGAAATGTTACATATAAGAATATATTTTAAATATAATTACATATAATATATAAAATATGTTAATTATATAAATAATTTTATATAATTTTGTATAATTATATTCATATATGAAACATTTTTTCCCCGGCCATAATGTTATTGATTGTTAAAGAAATAGATCTAAAATATAATTAGTAATTACATAAAATTAGTAATTACAATTATATCAAACTGAGGTTTTGTAATTATAAAAATACTTATAATAAAAAAAATATAAATAAATAATTTTATCTGTACTTGAATACATTGGATCACAAATATCCTCCTTTTATACCTATCATACTATTAACTAGATATAACAAAATCAAAGATATTTGAGCTACTAAATGTACTCTTCCAATAAACAAATACACACACACACACACACACACACACACACACACACACACACACACATGAGTATTTTTACGATATAAAGGAGGATGGCACTTTTTAATATTAAATATGCTTTTCATGAATTATATTATTGATTTATTTTTAGTATTACTTCATGAAAAATAATAACGTTATCATACAATCATTTAATTTAAGTTATAATTTTAAATTTAAAATATTGATTTTCGTACTTGTGTTAAACATTCGATTCTATTACCGTCAATCTAAATATAAATAATAATTAAAGCATGACGGTAAGAGACTGATCTTCATAAAACGTCACATTCAATATAATTTCGTTGAAAGGAATTTAAGATTGAAATTTAAGTATTGTAAATTACTTATAAATCGGTAAGAAGTTTCTTAAGAATAATTGTTTATAATAAATATTATTATAATTCTTATATTATTAATATGAACAACTCAGAATACGTACAAAATTTATTAGTTTGCCAATCACAATTGTAATAAAAAGATTGATGGTGAAATTATAATACAATATACATAATGCCAGTATAATGAAGAGTAATTTTATTTCTTGTTATTCAATTATTTCTTTGAAAAGTTATATATTTGTATTATATTGGGTCATCTAAAAAGTATCCGCGGTACTTTGTCACTAGATATATGACCATCAACACATATCTAGTGACAAAAAACCGCGGATACTTTTTAGATGACCCAATATATACATTATAAATATTTTAAGCTTGAAACTTGACATAGTCACAGTCTTCGTGACTTTTTTCTTTGTTTAGTTATAATCTGTGCATGGCCATAACCAGTGAGAAATAACAATCATATCGATGTCGATTCGATTCGTAATTGTCATTTCATTGAGCATACCTAATATTAATATGTTACCCCTAGAATATCTGTGGCTGTATAGTTCAACATACACGATTTGTGCACATAGAGATGTTACTAAACGGAGATTTGTTTAAAACGCGGGATACGCCCTCTTTACTCCACTCCATTATCTGGTTTCTTTCTGGAGTAAACTGGAGTGAACCATCCTGACATTTCTGACTAGAAGTAGTATGGTGGAATCAGAATTGCGAAGTTGCGCATGATGGAGCAAGGAGGGAGCGAATTTTGACCAATCCAACGTTATTGGCATCGCATTTTACTGTCTATCGACCAATCAAATGCTATCGGCATATCACTGTCTATTGCGCATCCTTCAGAATGCTTCATCAGATGGTCGTAGTCGTGAAATAATAATCGATCGCTCTTGTTGTTTCGGTTGCGTCGTTGAATTAAAAGTGCAATTTCAATGCGTCATCAGTGATATTATATATTCACCATGTCTGCTACGGCTGTACATAAATTTATAACTTTTGTAGGATTTATGTTTATATTACATGCAGCTTATTCTGCGGCACAACGTGAGTATCTGCATATTATTCTTTTATTTTATCAGTTTTATTTTCTTAGGTTAGAACTGATATTAATATTCTGATGAAATTATATCGTTTTTGTTTTTGTTTGGCATTTTGCACTTGGATTAAAATAAGATACAAGTCAAATCAAATTTCTGAGATGAAAATGAACAGTGTAACCAAAATGAATAATCGAAATTTGGTTTTTTATAGATCGTTCCTATTTACGAATCACCGAACAAGAGTTTACTACTTTGCCAATTGACGTAAGCTATGATTCATGATACTTGTTTCTCATATAGAAAGTTAAGTTTTGTTTCTGTATAAAGTATTCTATAAATTCAAACAAGCTGATAGGATCTTAGAACATTACAGGATATGTTTTTGTGTTATAGATTTTAATCCAAGGCATAGCCAGTTTATTTATCGTTATGTACGGCGTTATGTACATTGCTGGTGATTTCAAAGAAATCCGGGCAGTTGTTGATTTGGAGAATAAATCTTGGGAGACACTGCGGAATCTACCATCCTTTCAAGTATTTAATCATCGTGGAAGATCTCTGTCACCAGAATACATCTCAGAGTAAAAATAGTATTTTGATATTAAATCATTGAAAAAAGATACACTATATTATTTGTTAAATTGCATTTAGAATAGCAAAGATCTATTGAAATTTAGTATTATCAATTAATGTAATTTATATTTGTATTATATTAAAATAAATAATTTATCACTTTAAAAAAACCAAGTTACATATAAAGTGAAAGCATTAACAAGATAATCTGATACATGCATAGATATGAAATGTAATTATTTATTGCTGAAAAGCAACTTGTAATATATTGTGTTCTTTGTCTTCATATAATATCAATCTACAGCCTTAAAATTCAAAACATGTAATGAATGTATACACATTTTACACAATTGCGTAAATAGTATGAATAAAAAAAGTCTTAGTTTTTCTTATCGCATTTTTCATTTGTATGTTTTCCTCCTCTATTTCTTTTCAATATAATTATTTTATAAGAAAAATTAATTAATAGTATAGTAAAAGTGCATAATAAAACACGAGACATCACTTTTTCTGTTTCTTCTTTTCCGCCTCTGCTTCTTTTTCTCTTTCGATTTCTGTTACATATTCACCTATAGTATCTGTGTCTAACATCTAAAATTATATATGTGTATGTATTATTATTACTGTAAATTCGGTTTTCATGGATTCCTTCGATTAAATCGATTTCGTAGAATTAAATATACAGTTAGATACAAGTTACAATTATACCTCTAACGGCTGTCCACGTCGCATTACTGCTATTTCCAAATTTTTTTGTCCAGATTGAACTACTTCAAGGAGCGCTCTGATAGCTAATTTTATACAACCCTTTTCTGTCGATACTTCTTCCGGAGTATAATACTTCTCTAAGAATTCATGTACAGTTTTAGCACTGCGACCTGTTGCATTTGCCTTTTTTGTGGAAAGACAGATTGATATAAATTTTTAAATATTAAAAATAATTATATTCAACTATTCAATAAAAAATTCATAAAAACGGTCTTATCCATAAATACCTTCCATTCGTAATATATCCCTGATGGCTCTGTTTGATAAAGGTGTGGGACACCATCATAATCAAATCCAGCTAGGAGACAGGATATTCCAAAAGGTCTACGGCCGTTACTTTGTGTATATTTCTGTTTTAAGCCTGTAAATAATAACAATTTTTATTTTCTGTTGAAGTGATGTAGCTCCATTTAAAGCAATTGACCTGTAGTCAACAGGTCCCAAGTTCGATCCTGAATATGCTTGGTTTTATATGAAATTGATGGAAAATTGAGTGAGAAAAAAAAATATATATTAAGGTAATACGCGAAGAAAATGAAGTTGCATTTTAAGCTAAATTTAAATACTCTCTTGGCAGAACATAAGATGTAATCCGATCGCATAGAAACTTTGCACATTTCTTCTTAGTATAATATTAATTGTTGTTACATTATTACAGAAGAATTTTTAAATTTTAGTCGTACCTGCAATATACCTTGTAATATATTCCAAGGTAACAGGATCTTCTACAGTTAATTTATGACTCTGACATTCAACTTGCGCACGATTGATCAATACTCTTGCATCAGCAGTCAAACCTATTAAATAAATTGAAAACAATTATTTTATTTGCAACATACGAAAGCAATATTTATCTTTAAGCCTCTATTATACCTGCAAAGGCCATAATTACATGATCGTCCAAGAGACATATTTTGCGCACTGTACGTTCCTCTTGTAATTTAGCAACAGATTTCTTCTCGACACCCAAAACTACTACATCTGCACCACGTACACCAACCTGTACATATAAAAAATTGAAGCACACATAAGTAGACAAAGACTAAATAAATAAATTTAAATTAATGACAGGCAATTGAAAGCAAAAATTTGATACAATTATTAAAGCATTGTAGTTAATAAATGTATTATATTTCATAAAGACTTTACAAATAATAAGACTTTCCGACTGTTTCTGACCTAGTCTAGATTAGAAACTGAGTAGACTAGATCGGAAACAGTCGGAAAGTTAAGACCTTCATAATAGTTTAATTTCCAATTTTGTCTTATTATTATTTGTAAAGACTTTATGAAATACATTTATTAACTACAATGCTTTAATAATTTGTTAACTATAACGCTTTAATAACTGTGTCGAATTTTTGCTTTCAATCATCTATCATTAATTCATATTTATTTGTTATCTCAAGAACTCAATTTATTTTATTTTATTTATTAAAGAATAAATAGAATTTTGTTTAGAATTTCAGTTGGAATTTTTAATTCTTTATGATTAGAAAAATAACATGGATATAAATAATGTTTTATTCCTATGAATAGAATAGCAGAATATGACATGCCAAGAACGATAATGCTGAGATGTAGAAATAATAAAAAATACACATATAACACAGTATATATGTATATACACATACACACCACGCATATACATACATATATATATATATATATATATATATAAAACCTAACCTAATAAAGGATTCGCAGAGTCATGTACAAAGTAGATGAATAAAGTTGGTCAATAATAACTAAAAGTTCTTCATGTATGACAATAGATAGACTAGAAATCGACGGATAGACAAAAGGAAACAATGAAATGATTGAAAGACTCTTTAATTGAAGAGGAAGAGAGGTTAGAAAAATTAAACTGTTCAACATACCGCCGTCGAGCCTTTCTTGACTGCCTCCTGAGCGTATTCTACCTGAAGCAGATGCCCGTCTGGTGAAAAAACCGTGATCGCTCTATCGTATCTCGCCGACATCGTTTCGGCTGTCTAAAATATTCACCGTCCTGCAGGAAACTCAAAATGACTCCACCGTTTTCCAAGCAGTCAATCAGTAGCCACTCGTTCGACTCGTTCCAGAGTCAGCACTCCGGACGCGAACATGACAACGCATTTCCCTAGAAATGTACCGTGTCCCGGATTGGACGAACGGATCCTCATGAAATGATGAAGAATTCCTCGTTTTCTATAGGCTCTATCAATAGACAATCTGAGAATCGATTGTGTATCTTTTGAAACAAAGTGAAAAAAATTACAAAAATGATCAAATTTATTAGATGTTGACCTGAATAAAACTATTATAAATATTTTAGTAATTTTGCTTATTTTTGTAATTTTTATCTCATTTCAAGATGTATAAGCGCGCTCCGATTTTTATTTGCATCGATATAGATTACGTTGATCGTCTTAATAATTTCATCTGGATGTAACTGAGATCACGAAAACCAAAATAAAATTACACAAAGACTCATTTTTCTTTTTCGATTTTAATAATACATGACACACTTCGCTTTTTTATAAACTTAAAAATTTTGTAATAAAATAAAAAGTGTAACCTGATTTTATACATGTATATACGTGAATCATGATAGTAAAACAATTATATTAAATATTCATATAATAATAATATATGTTGATTACACATATTGACTATATTGTATGCAGAAAATTATACATATGAGATAAAATCAAAATATGCATATATAAGTATATATTATATTGTACGTAAAATGCATATACTTAGTTATATCTGATAGCCCGTACGTGACGTAGCAAGCATGTCACTTTAAGCTTTGAGCTAATTGTTGCACGTTATGTTAGGTCTTATAATAATTAATATTCGAAATATGATTGACACGCTATATTCTACGCGATGTCTACGATGTAATATGTATTAATAAAAATATCATTTTATATTAAAAATATATATAATTTAGTTCCAAAGTACTTGGAACCATCCACCACTTAAAAAATCCAATATGCAGCTAATTATTAGGTGTTGGAATTAATTCGTAGCGTTTTTAATGAAAGAATGTTATTTATTTCACATGAGCATTAAAAAATACATTAATGAAAGTACTTCCCATCACTTGTAAAACGCTACGAATTAATTCCAACACCTAATAAAGTCAAATTATTTTTTCTTACATTGCAAAAGACTTATCATATTTTTTATAACTTTAAAATGAAAATAAAATAAATCTTTTTAACGCACATTATTATTAGGATATTTTTAAAATCTGATTTTAACTTAAGATCTAATTAGTGATTGTGTAGAAATATTTAAAAAGCATATTTAAGGTGATTATAAATATAAATATAAGATTTAAAATTATATTTAAGAGATATTTAAAATTATATTTAAGATTATACTTAAGTAACGTATTTAAGATTATATGATGATGATATAATATTATGAAATTTAAGATTCTAACTGAAACTTATTCATAATGAGATATTAAATATGAGACCCTTTCTCTCAGACTATGAATATTTGTCTGCGAGAATGATTTCTTCAGAATTGACAAAATTCTGTTATATATGTAATATGTTTTGTGCACCCAATCAGTAAAGAAATATTTTTTAAATATTAAAAAAAAAATTTTATCAATGTTAAAAAAACATTTAAAAAACATTTAAAATTAATGGAAATTCTTCTTTTATTAAAAAATATTTATTTTTAACATTATATAAACATTTTTTAAACGTTTAACAAAATGTGTTTTTAATATCAAATAAACATTTTTTAAATATTTAGGAAAGTAAATTGTTAACAATAAAAATTGTTTTTTTTTACATGCGCGAACTGTCAAAATACTTAATTTTCATTTGGAGCCCAATTTTGGGGTTGTCTTCAAAGTATCGTTTCAGTATTATTTTATTATAAAATAGGTGAGAAATCTCATATCGTTGTGCCTTTTATTTTGTGATAGGAGCTGTGTTAGCTTATGAAAAATAGTATCTGATGCCACGTACTGTGCTTGTTAATTGATTAATATAGAATAAATATTAAATTAACGTAAAATAAATATATTTCTTATAGTTATTATTTCAAAGAAATAACTAATGTGAAATAAATATTTAAACAATGTTAAATAAATATCTATTCTCTAAACTGTGGAAATATCGATCTCAATGATGGCTCAATTTTTAGGTACATGCGCTATTATTTTAAGTTATATTACAACTTTTTAAATTCGTAATTCGGCATTTTTTAATTTTATATTTATCGTTGCGTGTTAGATTTAGATATAATTTTATTAAAGATATCATTTATTATTGTATAGCATATATGTTATTTCTAGAATAATATTATAACTTATTGTATATATTTGTATGATATTTGCAATCATACAAATTTTACGATTGTGTGCAATTAAAAAAAAAATTGTTTTGAAAGAGATTGCTGTTTGAATACTTAGAATACTTGGGACAATTAGAGTTTCTCCAAGTAAAACATAGAAGTTATTATAATGTCATGAGGACATCATCACGACTTCATTCATCAATTAGAATTATCATTCATCTTATCAATTAATTTTTAAGTATATTAATTTTTAAGTATATTAATTTTTAATATCATGATGATGTCATTATAACTTAATTATGATTCCTTGTTTTACCTAGGTCTGTATTTTCTTGAATTTAACTGTGACATAATCTCTGATCGATATCTCTTAATTATTTTCATCCGGGAAAATGTCCATTATAAATCTCAAGGAGAAATATAAATTCTAAGCGAACGTAAATATTTCAATATATAAAAAATCTAATGCTATTATCATCAAACTAATAGAAAGTCCAGAAAAAATTTTGATTCGTAACTTGCCGCATACTGAAATGGGGATTTTTTTATGTTTAATTTATTATTCCTGTTTAATAATTTTTGTATTTATTATGCAACTTTTATTCGAGTAAAATAAATTAATGCTCACATGTGTTAAAATAATAAATGGTAAAATTGACCTAGATATATAATATTACACATAAATCTAACATGTATATATCATCCTAATATCTATCTATATTATCATCATATTATGTAATTTATCATATTTACAATAAATATAATACGGAAAATAATATGGAACAGATGCATTTTTACAAGATTTCTCACACATGCTTAAAGGGGAATCACATATTTACTATAATTTTTTTGCGAATTTCAATGTAATATTTTAGAGACATATTTTTTAAGACTCTAAGCATTACAAAAATACAAAAAAATTAATTTTTTAAACTTGTCACAGTGGTCTTTCCCCTTAATTGCAGACATCATATTTCATTTTTAAGTTAATCATAATAATTTTCGATAAAATTGTCAAAGTTCAAATAATATAATTGTCTGCAATAGTCTGCAATAGTTCTTTAAAACGAGAACGAAAAATGTTATCCTGAAAAAAAGACAATAATCAGACGCTCTTTCGTTTTGATCGAGCGAGTGGGGATGAATAGATAGAACTGATATCGTCGCTCTTATAAGAGAAACGATCGGATTAGAGAAACGTTTAGTCAAGGCTGGCCGCTCTGTCATGCTCGCTGTGCTACGTTCGCCTGTGCAACATGATTGGGTCGGTATACTTTCTTTTTTTATCGCTCCGCGAAGGTGTGGAGGTAGCAGGTAAAAATACCTGTGTTGACAATTTTTGCATAATTTTTTTTCGACTGTCTCATTAAACATCCATTCGCGGTGTTAAAAATCAATACAAATTCAACATATGTGAAAACATAGTTACCGTCCTTGTACGCAATAATTGACATTGTGAAACGTTTTATTTCTGTAACTTGCAAAATTTGTGATGCTTAAACAGTGCAAATGTGAGTTGCAACAGAAACTTGTGATTTGCGAGAACGTGCTTGTCGAGTGTAATTTTTTTAACGTAATCCACTGCATGTGTGTCATACTTATTTGCTGAGTTATTATATTTTATGTAAATTTATACATATATATCAGAAATAAATAAACAAATAAAATATTGAAGGACAAATATTTAGATTAGATATAATTAGAAATAATTAGATAAGTATCAGGATCTATAAAATAAAAAATGTACTACTTTTGTAACTTATTGTGTTTATATTTGTGTATATATTTATTATTTTTTAATATAAATCGTGGAAACACATTGTGCGTTGCAAGGGATGGAAGATTGCTTAATACTCGAGTGATTAACGATGTGGCGTAATCACGTGCAACTAATACATCGTGTGCTGCAATTGCATCTAGAATCATAATTATCGTGTGCGTGTAAATGCATTTATTATTCGTTATGCATTTTTAAATAGAAAAAAAATGAAATAAAATTGAGAGAGAGAGAGAGAGAGAGAGAGAGAGAGAAAGAGGAAAAGAGAGCATTAAAAATATTCTCGCTAAACATTGAAATTTGGCTTAATTTTAAATTCAGTCGATGATATTACATATCGTTACGGTCATTGTACAATGGTCATTGCTGTGTAATGATACTTACATTACAATTGCAAAAGACTTTTAACTAACAACTAGCTATAGATAATTTCGCTTCCACAATTCATGTTTAAGTATGTTTCCATAGATAGTACCACACGTTGCGTCAAGAATGGAAGAATGACAAGAAACCAGTTTTGTAAAAAGTATTTTACAAAAAACGTTTTCATAGTCTTCTAACTAATTTATTATTGAAAGAAAACTATGAGTTGAATTTTTTTTGCAACAATTTTATAATTGTTTTTGGCTACAAATAACACACGTTTGTATATGCTTCATATTTGAAAATTACTTTTCAATATTATTAATTTTTTTAAAAAGCATTTTTTGAAAAAATATATTCTTATGTCGTATAAAAATTGTTATTTATTGGTGCATTTATGAATATTGTAGAATTAATTTATGTTGAATTGTTTATAAGTTAATTATATTTACGTAAATATATATACATTAATAATATAGCATACAGTTTTTGCAAATCCCGTTAAAAATTTATATTGACAATCAAATTATGTGTAATGCACATACACTCAACCACTCACACATACTATACATACTATACTAACATTCATACATATTATAATATAATAATTCATCATTTATTCATATTTTAATATATTTTAATCTAAAAAAGTATACAATGAAATATACCTGTAAATTGTTGCAACACTGTTGTGCAATTTTTAATGTTCACATCCATAAATTAAACACACATGTAATTAGCTAAACACATTTGCAGTTAAATAATTATTATTTAATTTAAAATTGCAAAAGTATAAGAATGTTTGAGTTGTGAAGAAATGTATGCAATATATTTTTCAAATATGAAAATTCGTCGATACATTGTGATCAGCACATTATTTCTTTATCGACATTATTGTGAAATATTTTTGTAAATTGTGATAATATTTAAAAAAAGCTTCCTGAGGCAAGATGATTTATTTCAATCGTTGATTTATTTTATCGAACGTCATCTAAAGGAAATGTTTGCTCAATTTTTAAATATTTAATTAATTTGTCTTATTCCCTGATTAATAAAGTAAAAAAATAATTTTTTATTTACACGTGACGTAGCTACTATATTAATCCCTTCAAATTTTATCTTTATTATATGTTCATAATACAATTAGCACATTAAAGTATACGATAATTAAATATTTACAGATCTGTAATATGTTTATTTAAGTGTTACGAAGCAGAATTTTATTTCTTATAATTTTAGAGTCATATCTCATACATCTTGAAATTGATAAATTAAAATTATTGTCTGTAATGACTCGATGTTAAGACCATACGACGCATGACTGTATTGAATGGTATATACATGCGTTACGCAATCTCAGGGAATTGCATAGTAAATGTCTTCTACGTGTGTAAATCTATGATTGCATGATGATAACTGGACCATGTTCTTGAATCAACGATGACAATAAAGGTGATAATAAAACGATGATTGCGTTGATATCTATTAAGCGATACATATCTATCTTTAATTGTATAAATTTTTAAATCACGATTCTTATCATACACACACAATCATAAACATTGTTTTTATGGAGTATTTATAAAGGAATCTTACTACTTTATTATTTTATAATTTTATAAGTTTTGTTACTTTATAAATGTTACTTATTACACCTCGTTTAACTGCACGACATTTTTATTTATATGAACATACATCATTCAAATTTTAATTATGTATAAATAAATCTGTTTAATATCTATTTATCAATCTTATGTTACTACATAAGATTAAACATTGTAAAATTTATATATATAATTATTTAACTATTTTAATTTATATCATTTTAAATAGCATAAGACGATTTCACATTGTAAAATGTAATCCTGATGCTATGATTGTACTTTGTTGCAACTGATAAACCTTTACAGTAGTGACACAGGTGCGAACGCGGTCATGGTAAACCATTAATTAGAGCGTAAAGCAACCATGAGATTGTTGAGCAACCGACAGAAGCATCACTATTATTTTATCATCGCTATTATTCGGCTCTTTCATTGATATTGTACTAATGGGCATGCATCGAAATCATCAACTTCCTATATTTTCTATAGAAAAACAATTATATGCATATTTATATTGTATAATATGCATTTAACTCGATTTATTAAAATTTTTTTAATAGTTCTTAATTGCATAATCGAATTTTAAATTTTAATTTACAAATAACGTAAAATCAAAATACAGTATAAATAATAAAAATAAAATATTTTTATATATTATAAGCGAATTTCGAATAAAAATTATGTAAAATGTCACGAAAATTAAGTTTGTAATGTTTAACATTAAAGATCATTGTTATGATCGTGTAATGATATTCGATCACAAATTCTCATAAAATAAACGCAGCTTAAGTCTATTGTCAATATATCATTAAAAGGATAAACAATAAAAATCTATTTTTTAATATTTATTTTTACATACTTTGTACAGAGGGAGAAAAAAGCTGATTGCATTCGGCCTGATGATCGCCGTACTTGTGGCCGTTTTCGTGGTATTAATTGTAATCTTCACGGTCAATTCAGATGTTAAGTGCGGTTCAAAGTTCGTCAGTTCTTCTGAACTGGGTCGGTATGCGAAGGTAATACCTATTAATTGATGAGTATAAAAAAAAGATTGATTTAATTAAACCGTAATAAAAAATACCAACATTTGATTTGCTCATTTACTGAAACGTATTCTGGAGAAGTTATTCATTTAATTAAAATATAATTATAGTGTTCCGAAAAAAGAAGGTAATTATTTCCAAATACAAAATACTTCTCGTGCTCAGTACGTAAATCATTACGTAATAACAGCTAGGAAATTAATTAATAAAAAATTTAATTTAATATTAAACGACAGTAAATAATGCTATGTGCGTATTTGCTTTGAGAATGTATTTTTATTAAATTTGTTATTTTTCAATAACTGCTTTATTTTACTTGTTATTTCGCAAACATTCATTTTGTTTTACATGTAAAAAGAACAATATGTGATATAGTATAATACATTTCAAAAGTTTTTTTTTTTATAATTATTGAAATATTTGTGAATAGGGCGCTGTGACAACGAACGGTCAGGAATGTTCAAAAATCGGTGCAGATATCTTATCTAAAAACGGTTGTCGCGTCTTTGCACAGGTACTTATTGCAATTTTTATCTCTTAATCTTCTTTTTTTGATATGAAATATGCTTCTTGATTTGATAAGATTTGCTTATCATGATGTAACACCTGATTTTGCGAACAAAATATACAGTCAGCTATATATTTCTATATTTGATTTAAAGCATGGGACTAGGCGGTGGATTTCTTATGACGATATGGGACGCAAATAGCAAAACGGCGACCTTCCTGGACGCGAGAGAGACCGCCCCGATAAATGCAAAAGAGGACATGTTCAATGGCAATGCTCATTTATCCATGTATGGTAGGATTTTTTTGCAAAACTTACTGACAGATACATTTACGTTAAAATTGCTTAGAAGTTGTATCTAGTCATACCGGATGCAACATAACATTTAATTATAAAGTTCTCTATTTCACTTGTGTACGTAATAGTAATCTGAGTAAACAAGCATAATCTATGTGTTGTCGAACAGGTGGACTCGCAATTGCTGTCCCGGGTGAGCTTATGGGCTATTGGGAAGCATATAAAAAATACGGGAGGATAACGTGGCCTGAGTTATTCGAGCCTACAATTAAATTATGCGAAACTGGATCGCTCGTCAATGATTATCTTGCCGAATATCTGGTCGAGAAGGAACCTATGATAAAGAACGAGAGCAGTTTGGCTGAAATACTTATAAATCCTGACACTAATAGAACGTGGATCGTGAGTAGCATCTTGATTTTTCGAAATCTCCTTTATCATTTTTTAATCTCTCGCTTTGTCTGGTGAACGTCTTGTGGATTCAGGACTATGAATTAAATAATATTTACAGGCAGGAGATCGAATAAAGAGACCGAAATTGGCGAAGACCTTGAAGCTTATAGCGGAAGAGGGTCCCTCCGTGTTTTATAATGGCAGTATCACTGACAAATTAGTCGACGAGATAACTAAGTTTAAAGGAATAATCACGAAACGAGATTTTCAAACGTATAGGTATGTATTATGTTTTTTCATTTTTGTGTTTTGAAATATTATGAATGTTTGTGAAGTGTGAAACTTATTATTTGAGAAAATTTAGATTAAAGGCGATTATAAACTTATCTTTATTACGCAGTTATTTGAAATTTTACAAGAGAACGTAAAAAAAAGAAATGTGGCTCACAGTAGATAAAAACGCTGATTTATTGCAACGATAATATTAATGAAAAACTTATTGAAAAAACTTATAATGAAAAATTTATTTTTTATGATACATTAAAGAAATTAATCAGAATATCATGACCGAAAAGTTTTGCTATTGTTATATCTCTTTTTAGAATTTTAATATTAACAAAATAATTAAGTATGAATAAATATAAATTGTTGATAATATTAAACATCATTATTTATAATCAATTAATTTAAGACCGATAACAATGTAAGAGTAGATTAGATATTGATTTCATAATGACTCAACAAAACTACTTATATCAAAGTAAACATTAAGTTGTGCTCTTTTCTTGATTGCTTTATTATAAGCAATTTTTTTTTATAAATTGTATATTTAGTGGCAATAAATGATATAAATATAAAATAAATAAATGTAATAAATCAAACTAGGGCAATACTATGAGAAAAACGTGTTATTGAGAATAGTGTTAAATTCATAATATTAATTAAATTGTATTCATAATATTAATCAATTTGAATTATTTTTTATTATTTTTACAAGTCGCCACTGTTTCTTTTCAATTTCGTTAATTTCGTCAATTTAATTAAAATAATGATGATAAATTATTTAACCCAAGAAAATATATTAAATTTGACTTAAATTTAGTTTATTATTTATTTTAGTGCATACATTAATATGAACGCTACTTACTTTAAAATTAAAATTAAATTACAGAAATAGATTAATTTACATTCTGACATACTGAAAAAAAATTTATTAAATTTAATACATATTTCTTTGAACAGTACTAAGTAACAGTAAACATTTATTTAGAGTAAATATTTACTCTATAAAATAAGTATGATTAAATCAAATTAATGGTTTTTTTTGTATCAAATAAATATATTTACATTTAATAAATATTTACTTAGAAACATATTATTTGTTCGAACGAATATTTGTAAAAATTTAATATTTTTTTCGCTGTACACATTGAAGTTAAAAATGGCAAAATGTTATTTAACTAAAAAAATTGGGTTACTTTGTTAGTGTAAGAACCATAGCACATTGATAATGCAAGACTACTTTGCAGAGCCGTATGGAGAAAGCCGGTCGCGTTGAAAATGGGGAACCTGACAATTTACAGTGCTCCGCCGCCAGGTTCAGGCGCAATTCTAACGTTTATAATGAACGTCCTTCGTCGCCTGCTACCGGTTCGCGATGAGAACATAATGTGGCAACGTATAGTGGAGACCTTCAAGTGGGCTTACGCAAGAAGAACAGAGTTGGGGGATTCTGAATTTGTCGTCGGCATAGGTAAGACCGTGGATATATAATGAGCAATATTTTAACATAATTCACATTTCTTGATAACGTATCTTGAATTACATATGATATGTAGTAACGTTATATATAAAGTTTATTTAAAAAAAATCATAGTCAGTCACTCTGAAAAATTTCTATGTAAATGATAAACGATAACAATCTATTTAATTTATTTTACAAGGTCTTTAACTGAATGATAATTATATATCTAACATTGATAGAAATATTAATAAAAAATGTTATGCTTATTTAAAAGTTAAAGCATCTCGAACATTATTAATGCATTAAAAATCTCTTCTATTAATAAAGACAAATTTTCTCGTGTTGACATTGATGTTACGATAATAAGTATGTAAATTAATCATAAAGAAGAAGGAAGAGAGAGAGAGAGAGAGAGAGAGAGAGAGAGAGAGAGAGAAAGAGAGAGAGGTTTTTTATATTACTTTAAATGTATATTATTACGTATTAGTCTCTTTAATGTCGCGATGTACGTAGTATGTTTTTTTTCTGAGAATTGTGTCATCAAATGTTTCTAATATAATCGTTAATCTATATATCATTACATAACGCATTTGATAAAACCTGTTGTTAAAAGATTAGTAATTTCCAGCATGATTTTTTCTAATACATTCTTCGAATTTCCTCCCCGTCAATTACGAAGCATTTAATGCAATTATTTTTTTTATAGACGAACTGCTCACCAATTTAACGTCCAACGATTACGCGGAAATGATAAAAAATAGGATTAAGGATGATCGCACAAGTCAAGATCCAACAGATTACGGCGCTATCACCGCAACACTCGAGGATGCAGGAACCGCACATGTTTCCATCCTCGCCCCCGACGGTTCTGCCGTCTCTGTTACGTCGACCATCAATCAGGTGTAAGTAAATTTGCAAGTGACAAAGTACTCTAATGAAATAATTAAATCGCGAGACAATTTATATAAAATCAACTTGTACAAAATTAATTTAGCTTAGATTAGAAGATTTCCTTTTCACTTAGAGAGAGAGAGAGAGAGAGAGAGAGAGAGAGAGAGAGTTTGGCTGTTTTAAATTATATTATAAATTATACTATAATATATATTCAAATAAATGCAACGATCCATTTATAAAGTGTTAAATGTACCGAGAAAAAAAGTCGAAATATCGCAAGCAAATATTATGTTTTCTTCAATATTTATTGGTTATAAAAAAATTTTGACTGTGATGACAAAATATTGACACTTCTGTGAAATATATTTCCTTAACAAAAATCATGTACAAAAATAAAGTAAATGGTTTATTTGCTAGAAATAAAATTTTATCTCATACTGAAACAAGAATTTATTTCAGTGAAAAAACCATATGTTTCATAAATAAATTTTTAAGTATTTTTTTCTCAATGCATATATAATATTTTAAAATAAAAATGTCAGACTTTCCATTTCACGATACCGATTCGTTTCACACATAGACTAATAAAAATTTTATTATAACTTTTATTATGATACTCTGCGTATCAACGCGTTAAAAACGAAAAGAAGAAAACGAATTGAATCGCTTCGCTCCTGAGATACGTTCGACGTTCTTCGTTCTTGAAAGAAGCATGGTTTATATCTATCTTTTAAGAATGGAACGATTCAGCTCGTGCTCGGCGAACAGAGACCACGATAAAAATCCCGTGGTGTATAATGCGTAAGATTTTTCGTGCTCTTTATAAGCATCTTTATTTAACAGGTTGGGTGCGATGATACGCTCAGAGTCCACCGGTATAATATTTAACGACGAGATGGACGACTTCAGCTCACCTAACATCACCAACGGCTTCGGGCTACCGCCGTCACCGGCGAATTTTATTCGGCCTGGTAAACGGCCGTTGAGTTCGATGTGCCCGTCTATAGTGGTAAGCCATTTTACCGCGAATGTGACCGTCGACAAATTCGCTCGAGAGCTCGAAACTCGATGAATACAACATGTAACAAAACAGTCGCACGTTCGGTGCGCGTCTCGTGAACGCTTGGAAAACGCGTCTAATGAAACGGCTACAACGAGTTTGCAATTAACCATCGCTGGATAACCATCGATTCCGAGAATCGCTCAGCTCAATGATGTAATTGCAATTCGCAATCGTCACGCGATCGTCCGAAGTGATTCTCTGCGCTGCGTGAGACCTCGCCACAATGTTATTTCTCATGCAATTCGATATACCTATCTGTATAAAAATCTTTTTAAATGCTTTTTCAAAATAATCTTAAAGAGACTGAGTGAGATGTATCAGTCTTGAATGACTAAATTCAAGTTTATTTAATATAATCATGCGACCTCTTTTTTGATAGCGAAGTCTACGATGTTTGTTATGTAATTCGGTATGACTGTATAAAAATCTGGATCTTTAAACGCTTTTGTAAAATAATCTTAAAGGAACCGAGATGTACGAGACCAGTCTTGGATGGCTAATTCAAGTTCATTTGATTCAATCGCGCGATCTCTTTTAGGTAGATCACAAGGGCGATGTGAGATTAGTGATTGGTGCAGCCGGTGGCACGAAAATCACGAGTGGCGTGGCGATTGGGATGCTCTTGAATTTCTGGTATGATTACGACATAAAGGAAGCGATTGATGCGCGCAGGCTTCATCATCAAGTAAGTATGAGCAATATAATGACTATTTGAATTTGAGAAAATAATTTTATAATTGAAAACCAAATTCTCATTGTACCATTACATCTCAATCCGAGTTTTAATTCATAATGGCAATTTAAGAGATTATTAAATCTATCTTTAAAATTATTATTTAATAAAATTCCAAGAAATTATTAAATTTGACATTTTATAATTAAAATCATTTAAAACAGAAAATAAAAAAGATTTTAAAGGAACATATTAATAAAGAATGATTTTAGTAAAATTGTTATTAAAATATATTCTTAAAATTATAATTTAATAAAGATAAAAGATAAATTTAGATAATTTTTTAATTCGCATTTATTAAACATTTTTCTTGTATAATCAATTATAATTCATACAAATTTAAATACTTCGGTATATTTTTCCTTGGAAAAATTATTTCTTAGCTTTTATTATATAAGAAATAATATTAACAATAAGATAAATGAATAAGCTTCATTTATCAAACGCTAAATAAACCATTAAATGGAATACACTGTTGAGTTATTATATTTATTAATGATCTTTAAGAAAACTATTGAATAATTGCAGCTGCTGCCGATGAATATCCAGAATGAGAAAGATTTTTGTCCAGTCACGTTAGATTATTTGAAGAAAATCGGACACAACTCCACCACTTTTAGCGGAATTGGTAGCGCGATTACGGCTGTATCGAAAGAAAATGGATTCATAACAGCAAACTCGGATTATCGTCGACAAGGAACTACAGCAGGACTATAAAAATTATTGTATAGAATTCACGCGGATAACTTTATACCCAAAGATAACATAACGGATGGAGCATTGATTCTTTCTTTGCACTACCGTAATTTTTCTTAAATTGCAATAACGATTAATTTAGGCATACGGTTCACAAATGCTCTCTACAGCGTAAAATGTTTGTCTTATCACATCCTATTTATAAAAGAATACAAGAATAAAGTACTTTATAAATTACGGAATTATCCGCAGGCGAATTATATGTGATTAGATAATTGTTATGTAAATAAAATTCTTATTTTTAAGTTTAAGAGCCAATTTATATTTCAAATCAAAATCATTGGCATATGTGCCAATTCAAATATGTGCCGATTCAAAATATATTTGAATTAATGATTCCTACTTGGCTGTAAATACTTAAAAATTGTAATTGCGTATAAGTAATATTTATTTTATTGTATTTCATCAATTATCGCATCTCTGTACATATTTCATAATGTTTCACACATTCAAATATATAAAACAAAAATGTCTTTAATTTGTGTTTAGTACAAATTAAATTTATTTTTAGATGTAAACTGTATGTTTTTCTATTTAAATGAAAGATAACATATCCGTAATTGATAACATAGGATTCTATTCTTGATAATGCAGGCGACACGACAATTCTGCTGCATATGTAATGCGAAATCATGCAACTATGTAATATAAAATAACATTGCAATAAAATGTTTTATCAAAATAAAAAAAAACATCAATTATGATGTATAGATAAATAATGAATTTTTCTTCTGAAATTAAGATCGCATCAAAAAACTGAAGATAGTTAAGATAATACAATTCTATAAATAAAATATACTCCCCCTTGTTGAAAGGGATAACGTAAAAAAAATTTAATTATTAGTTACCTATTGTTGTTACATACAATTAATGTAAATTTTTCTTAGGTTATTTAATATAATTTACATAAATTCATTTCATGTTATTAATAACTAAAATTAGGTATAATTATGCTCGTAAAAAATAATCAAGTGGAAGTTGTTAATACTGACATCATGATTAAAATTATTATACTCTTTCAGGTTACGTTTTTCAATAATCTTGCATTTCCATAATCATGCTGATGTATACGTGCATGATATTTGTCATTCTTGAAATTTTGTAGTGACAAGATTATTACTATTTTGCAATCGAAACAAATTTTGTGTAGTATAATAAACAAAACTTCATTTGTATATAAAATTCAATATTAATTTTCAAATTACCAAACCAGCAAGTTGATATTACAGTTGATATTTACAGTCATTAATTACGCAACAGAATTATGCATTTTCTGACAATATATTTACAAAGTTCACGGTTTTCTAAAAATCAACAAATAATTCAGTGAAATAAACAAATAAAATTATGCGAATGAGATAAATTTTCATTTGTCAGAGTAAATTTCAACATTTTTGGATGAAGATCTGATGAATATCTGATTATAATTTGAATAAGTTAATAAACATTCAATTTAATATTAATTTTAAATGTAATTTTTATCAAAGAAAAATAAGAAATTATTTATAATTTCTGGTTCGATTCTTTCTGGTATTTCGAGTTCTTAAATATCAGTTCTTAAATAAAATTAATTTCCAAAAAAATTTGTGTGGCAATCTACAATTCAAATCAAAAGGAACTCTTTCTTCAAGGTTACTACCGCTATAACAATTAGTATTCTCTTTGGAGTTTTACTTCAATCAATGCACTCGCTGTACGTCTGGAATTTAAAATTTCTTTCGTACATGACCTTCATTGTATACGTTCCGTATTAATACTGGAATGTATTTCTTCCGTATTTACATCGAAGCTAATTTTAAATAAGCCAAGTTTTTTATTTGCCGCGAAATAATTATTTCGTGCAATTACTGCAATTATTTTTTTACAATCAAAATGATTTATTTTACATATAGAATCTATTCTTTGAGCTAAATCATCTGTTTTAAACTATTCAACCTTGTGGTACAGTCTACTTTCGAAATAAAGCAAATCATAGTTAAAGATTAATAGAAAGTAAAAACTACACATTTAATAGACTTTTGGTCAACTATAAAAGAGACAAAAATATTTATCGTCACGCAGGAATAATTTTAGAGAAGTTTCATAACTGTCCTGACTCACTCTGATCAGTCTGTCAGCTTGACAAGATAATTCGAGATAACACATCGAACGCTCCCATATTATTTCCATATTATACTTCCATTTCGCAGAATATATATGTAAAGGGTGTTTTTTTAAGATAGAACTTGAAATTGTAAAAAATAAAACAAAAAATTAAATTAAACAGCCGCGGTGGCCATATGCCCGAAATCATTTTCAAATGTTAATGCCATGCATTGATCTTTCGACTAAAAAAAATTTTTTGATTATAATTTAATTTTTGTGTTATTTTTTACAATTTTAAGTTCTATCGGGCTTAAAAAAATTTATCGGGTTTAAAAAAACACCCTTTATGTCCTATACAAAATAACATTACGTCATTTTATTGGTTTGTCTGACATATAAGAGAACCGTTTTAAAAGCTTTATATATATTAGTCACTAAACCGCAACCTTGAGACCAAATTCGAATATTTAATATTATTATTTTTTGTTGAGCAAAATTTTTTAAAAATAGATACATTATAAGATTTCAGATTCGTTATAAAATAGACGTGTTATAAACTCTATGTGTCTCTAATATGATCACAAGCATAAATTGAACACATCGACAGAATCTAATCTGAAAATTTCGATTGTGATTATTATCTTTATATCACCAATATCACATACATATGTACATACACTCCAGAAAAACAGAAAGAAAAGCGGCCGTTGTTATTGTCCAATTATCAAACAAAGAGTGAATGCGAGCGAACTCGTGTGATTTTATGTCAGATGTCGGATTCTCCCGATTTCAGCCGTGCCTTGTTTCGACGAGATACATTGTTCGATATGATACCAACGTGGCAGTAATTTCAAGAGTATACGGTTTACGGAAGTTAATCGAGATCTTCGTTTACCATTGAAAATAAGGAGACTCATCCAGCCGCAGAGAAAGAGAGGGAAAAAGGGAGAAGGAAAGGGACAAATGGTGGACAAAGATTCTTAATTTCCGGTGCTTTGTTCTTGTGACCATGGTGGTCCGTTTCATTTCCGTTTCGTTATGCCGAGGTAAACGGAGTCAGAAAAAAGGAGATATCAAACATTCTGAAGAGCGTTGCGAGTTACGATTAAAATATGGAACGTTCGCGTGCATACCTATGATTGTTGAGTATTTATCGCACTCATTCAATCGCAAAAACCGACAATTAATTTTAATTAAATAATAATCTTAAAATTTAGAGTACAAATAGAGTAATAATATCTAAAAATATTTACGATGTATGAAATTGCTGCTTTGGTTTCTTAAAAAAATGTTGTAAATAATAATTAAAATTTTTAAAAATAAATGTACATAAATATGCATTGTGTACGCGCGTTATTTTAGACAATCTAATTTTAATAACTTTATGCCAAAGATATTAACCACAGATAAAACAAAAATAGGAAGAATGAAGAATGAAGAAATAAATTGTGTGTGTGTGTGTGTGTGTGTGCGCGCGCGCGCGTGCGTGTGCGTGTGCGTGTGTGTGCGTGTGTGTGTGTGCGTGTGTGTGTGTGTGTGTGTGTGTGTGTGTGTGTGTGTGTGTGTGTGTGTGTGTGTGTGTGTGTGTGTGTGCGCACATGTAAAACAGAAAAATTCTCTTACATTTTTTAATCAGTCGTTTTTCTTGTAAATGCGTCACTTAGTTGTATCATACGCTTGAAAAAAAATGAAATTCATTAGAAATATCACACTCTTTGTTGATTCTAACATATACGTATTCTTCCAAGAATAAATTAAATATTTTCTGTAGCATCTGATATTTTTGCAGTTAAATCTAGCATTTTTATAAATCATTCTATATTTTAAATATCAAAACATGATGTATCACACTATTTCTCATCGATAGATGTAGTAACCTGTCTCATAAATAATTGCAACACCACGCGTATTTCTAATTTTAAACTTAATTTTTTATATATTCTCGTTATGTAATGTAATTTAAATTAATTTTTTAACTATTCTCGCTTTAAAGATTATAAGAAACGATTTTACATTTTACAAGCAAAACAGGCTTTTGCACAACGCTGTTTTCCAAACGGATTTTTTGAAGCTAAAATGTTTTTCAACTGTTTATAAACAGTTAATAACAGATATAATTAATTTATCAAATTTTCATATAATTTATTCGTATCAAATGCACTAAAAATTATATTTATAAGTGGTAATTGTAATTGTCATTACAAGTCAATAGTTATTTCTATCACAAAATAAACATCTTTATTAAACATCACATTAAGTGAACTAAAATTATTATCTACAAATATTATATGTACATAGAAGACGTAATTCTTTAATGTTAAGTAGTAGATTTGAACAAATCTATTATTGTCACATAAATACAAATAGTAAAAAAATGATATACATGGAAATATATTATATTAACAATCTTATAGTTAGAATTTTTCTTTTATTTTAAATTTCTGATCGATTACTTACAAATTTTGATACTTTATTTTCTTTATCCCCTTCCTTAATACCTGATGGACTCACGCGACATTCAATGTACGATATGATATCCAATAAGATAATTCGATTCTAGTGAGCAACATTTTTGTTTTCAAGAAATAAATTCTATTGGATATCGAACGTTATGCGTTGAATGTCGTAGTTTTATATACAGCGCAACGGTATAGACAGTATAAGCACCTGTGACCGCGTTCGAGTTACAGTCATCAGTCGAGAGCCGGAGTTGGATCTGATCAGACCTCTGACAAGGTTTCGAACGGAAAAATAGAAACACTTTCACTTTGCACAAGATGCTGAGGGAAACGATTCTCGTTTTCGCGGCGCTCATTGTGCTTGCCAGTGCCACGGCAGTTAATGTATGTGATTCTGGTAAGTTTATTGAATAAAAACATATAAATATTATTAAAAAAATACATTAACCCATAAAGATACATTAATCTATTAAAAGACAGCTTTTAGTTTTTAATAAATTTACATTTAAAATGTGAACCGTTTCTATAACATAATAATTCATTGCTTTTTCTATAATTTTGTAAGTGACTTTGGACTTATTTATTTACGTAGCATCGTTACGTAAATATATAGACAAGTTGATAAACGAAAATTTGCTGTATTATAACTAAATGATCAATAATAGTATTATTATTAAAACATGCGCAAGAGAGAATTTTCAGATAAAGCGTTATATAAAATGTTTAAAGAAATAATTATCAAATTTGCTTTTAATATACTGAGAGCTATGGTCATCTTTTGATGTCATCTGAAAAAGTTACAGATCTAAGATATTTATTTTAAAATTAAAACTGTTTCTTTTTATGTGAGAAGATTTTTGCCAATATCATTAAGTACCTTTATGAAACTTTCTCGACATTGTGTCAAAATATTATTGTACAGAATATTATAAAATATTTGGTCAAAAAGTTTATTGATTTATTTTTCTATTTGCATTCTTAAAAATGTTATATAACTCTATAAGTATGAGAACATTTTTATTCCAAGTTTTCAAGAAGAACAAATAATTCTTTATTTCTAAAACTCCATCGAAAATTAAATATAATTTATCTCTAGAATCATTAATATGTTTGATAAAAATTCTTCGAAAACATAGAGGTAAAAGTAGAAAAAAAATAAAAAAATTTGATCATAATTCGTTGTCAAGGCAAATCGAAATAAAGATACTATATCTTGTCAATAGATACATACCATATACATACTGTATCATATGCATTCCAAGCTAATTTACACATCTTGTTATTACTTGATATTTAAATGTATTTTTAGATTTCGCTACTGATTCATATCTGAGTAATAAAAATATTTATACAACACCTTTATTTATTTAAGTGTTGAAATATTTTTCTAATACTTAACTGTTAATAAATATGTAACTTGTGACGAAATTTTACATATGCTTGCATAATTTTTCCAAAATATATTGACAAAATTTTTACTTCACATATTTTAGAATATTCTGACGTAAGGGACTTGCGATATATTTTCGATATTTAAAATTCTTTTTGTGATATATTGTATACTATATAATATTTTAAACATATTAATTTCGTCTTGTTATTTTTCCAAGAATTGTACAAATCTTCTCAACAGAAATGTATTATCCATAATCATATGATAAATTGCTGAAGGAGAAATGTCCTTCAATAGTTAGACAGGATTATTTTTAAAATTACCACACAAGTAAAACATCGAATAATTACCTACATCGAAGATTGTTTCTCATGCTCGTGACAGAAACTATAATTAGTGTTCTCATAATTTTATCATCAAATAATAATGCGTGTAATGATTCCTAATTATTAGAGATATGTGAATGAGACAACGAATTAGTTTTATTATTAATACCTATATAATTGCTTACAAGAAATATAATTGATATATGGTAAAAGTGATGGACAAAATACTAACTTATACGTTAATTTATAATCGACTCGTTTCACCGTTAGAATTTCAATGCTAATTTAGAAATTTTGCGTCGATTAAAGTAAAAATAAATATCGTGCAAGTACATAAACAAAGTCTCTTCTTTATATGTTCGAAGCACAACAAACAAAATCGACAGGAAAAAATATACTATATTGATCGATCGTTAAAATTGAAATTAAAAACAGTTAAAAACTGTAGTTTCTTTCAGAACTAGAATAAAGATATTATGCTATTGACACTAAATGCAACAATTATACCTGACTGATAACACATTTATTTTGCGCATTTTCAATGCAAATGTATATTTATACTAGTAAAATATTTTTATCGAATCGTGTTTTTAACTGTATATAATATAATATTTCTTTTTATTCGATTTACTGTGCTTAAATGAACTATTGCAATAAAGTAAATAAGTATATATGATTTAAAAAATTACATTCACAAAAGGATCATCTTTATAAAGAATGCATGAGAAAAATTAAAATCACATAGTCATGTTTGCATAAGTACAATTTACATTTGTCTTATTGTTTAGGATTTCTTGCTGACCGGTTGTCTAGCTATTTCAGCAATAATCTTCAGGATCATTACGGATCAATCATAATCATGAGAAGCAAACGTGTCATCATTTTCAATCTGAATAAACTTATATTTTTTTTCTTACGACATTGAGGAAAACTTACTATTAATGTCGATTTATTGAGTGATGTAATTTTCTGCTTTTTATGAGATGACATTGATCTAGCACTCTAAAAAATTACTATTACTACCAATGTCTGATAAATTTAAAAAAATGTTTAATAGTTAATCGATTTTTACTTATTAGCGCAAATAGACATCATACAATAACTATACGATACGTTCGTTTTCATATATTCTATTTATACTTTCTCTTACATTCTCAGACATTATAATGGGAATCTTGCTGAAGATCAAATATTTCAAGGCAATCAACTTTATGAAAACTGCACAAGTTTCTGCACTCATTCATCCTCTATTTTTGTTACTCTAATGTATATATATGCATATTCTTCAAACAAAGAGCGTGCGAAATATTATTTTAATGTCAAATTAAATTGCCTTTTATAAATAAAATAATCATGTGATTTGATTATAATTTACATAATCAAAGAAAAAATCGAGCTGTGTGAAGACACAACAGACACATATTATATCTACACTATTTAAATTATAATTTACGATTTATGATTTTAGATCTTCTGTTCGACGATGATCAAATCAAAATATCCAACTGCGACAAACCTGAGTGTCTATTAAAACAGGGATCGACTGTCAATATAGAAATGAAACTCGTACCTAACAGAGATATTAAGAGTTTAACTAATAACGTGCAGGGAATTATTAGCGGCATACCCATACCGTTCATAGGAGTTGATGGAACAAATGCCTGTGATAATATTTATAACGCTGATGGTAGCAAAGCTGGTTGTCCCTTAAAAAAAAATGAACAATACATGTACAAAAACAGTTTCCCTATTTTATCAATATATCCCAGGGTAATTTTGCAAATTTTTAAATTTAAAGAAGACTCGTAATTGCACATATTTATTAATAATTAAATATATGTATATAATAAACATATATAATATACAATATTAATTTAAGATTAAATTTAATCAATTAGAAAAAACCTTGAATTAAACATTGAATTAAATAACTTTGTTGTAATTGGTCAAATTCCAATCCAATCTTAATCTCTAGTCTGATATCGGTTTAAGAATAATTTAATACTGATAATACATCTTTTCTTTTTAATTATGTGCAATTTGTTTCTTTCGTAACTTGATTTCAACCTGTTGCCATAAATGTTTGTTATAACTTTGCTTACAGATTTCAGTAATCGTACGTTATGCATTGAAAGAAGAAAAAGATAAAGTCATGTGCTTCGAAATACCAGCAAAAATTACGAAATAAAATACTTCGTTTTGTTGATTTCGGCATGTTACAATTAAAAATCGTAGTACGCGTAATCAATGTAATTCTGAGCTTATGTAATTTAATTGGCTGATATTATGTAGTACTGTATGCAAATAATTCTTTCGATACAGAATATTGTGATGTATAAATACATTTTTTTAATAAAATAATTTTCTATTTTTAATCAAAATATTGTTTCATTTATTTTATCTATTTTCTCATATTAAATTTTAATAATAATAATAATTTTTGTTAGAGATAAAATTATTAGAGAAAAAAATTGCCTGAATTGACACTTTTATAGACAAATTATCAAGAGAAAATTTATTAAACTAATTTTTAGCAGCATTAAATTTCTAAATACCTTTATAATTGACAATTGTTAAATATTCAAAATCTTTTATGAGTGAGCGACTGATCACGTGGACTATGCAATATGAGTAATTTTCAATAATGATTAAATAATTATAAGTATTATAATATTGTAAATATTGTACTTTTATGATAAACAACCAACACAAATAATGGATATTTTAACTAAGAATAATTAAAGAACTTTGATTTGGCCGATCATCGATAATATCGCAATAAAGAACATGCTTCACGTAAGCATACGAGTATAACAGTTGTTTGATTTTGACAATTCACTTTTATTTTATGCTTGTGTCGTTCGAAGTCTTTTTATATACCTATTTCATGTCTTCTACGTCCAAAGTGCAATCTGTTCTATTTACTATTATCGTCAGATATGTAAATGTCATCGTTCTACATTAAACTATAATGATTTTTTTACGATCTCATTATTAAAAATAATATTTTTGAATCGTAGTTTATAATTTATTTTCTTAATTAGGCAGTTTATGTATTATATAATTAATTTGCTTAACAATATGTAAAAAACAAATCATTACATCTTTTGTTAAGCTATAATTATCTTTAATTTAAATTTGGAACATGTAGCCACATCTTGTATCTTTAGCAACATTTTTTACAATACGTCTATTAAGTAATTATTTTATGATTCTTGTAGTTATAAGTATAGTGTATCATATGCGTACTAAATTTGTATAATGATGTATATTATGTATAACGTACAATATGTGCATTCAATTCGTATATCGTATGATTAAACTTGAGTTGATGTATGCCCATTATTGCGATTTTACCGTTGGTCGATCGAAAAGTATTCACAAGCGTATAATCAAGCCCCATAGGTAGCAGTCGAGGCGAGAAAATTTACACATATGAATATTAAAAAATGTCGAAAAATGAAAAAAAAGGCAACTTGCAAATGAAGCATATAACTCGACAGAGAGTGATTCCCTAGAATATGTGTATATACAGCCTTTGTGAAAATCCCACTGAAATGACAAAGAAAATATTCGACGCGCCTTCTCTGTAAAGCAGCCAAGTTTACAAGAATAAATGAGATTTATGAGATACTGCAAAGAAATTAATGAGTAAGTTTCAAAAGGAAATAATACGTGATTGGAACTGCATATACTTTGTAAATGAACATGCAGATTTATATACCTTTTCTCATTTTTATGAAGGAGGAAAATGAAGATTCTGTATTTTTTCTTTAGCAATATAATAAAAAGATAAAGATGTATCAAGAACAAATTACCATCTATTACGCAGTCATGTTGTCCTTACAATTTATTGCTCATAATAATGATGCTTTTTATATATTCTCGACAGTAAATTATAACATACGTTTAACATTCGATAATTCGCAGCTTCGTACCGATGCTAGATTGTCGCATTTCGATTGGTGGGAATGTCGGGCAATAATTACAGGTACGTATAAAGTGAATCTCTTTAATTATGATGTTGGATTATTCGCAAAATTCGCGAAATTAATTTGTTTATCACATTATTGTTAATGATTATGCACTACGTGATTGCTTTAATTTAAACGCTGATATTAAGAAATACAATAATAACATAAGCGTTTGAAATTGATATGTCGTATACGGAAAGAAAAATTTTGCTAAAGGATCTATAAATTTTGATAGATCTAAAAATAATTTTATTGGACTATCAAAATAATTATGTAGAAAAGTATGATAAGCAATATTGCAAGTTATGATATTCTAGCAATCAGCTTGAGCATTATACATTATTTTGATAATACAATAAAAGTATGTTCAGAACTAGGTATATCTAAACTAAAGTCTTATGTTTTCTACATAATTACTTTGATAGCCCAACAGAATAATTTTTTGTATCTAAATTTTTAGCAGAATCGTTCATTCCGTGTATATAATTATTGACGGATATAATAACAATGATTAACGATTAGTCGAATTTATTTTGGTACTCGTTTTAAAAGTTTTAAAGAGTGGATGTAATTTAAAAATGATAGATATATGAAAAAGTGATGATTTGGTAGGCAATGCGAGCCAATTGGCATTCAGCCATTTCTCTTTCATTTCACATTTTACTTTCAGCTTTTTATGATTATTATGATTCAGTAAAAAAAAAAAAATTAATAAAATGAGTGTATAAAGAAGCAGTATACCGATTTTATATTCTTGCGATTATTTGTACATGGAAAGAATGATTTTGGCAAATTATTAAAAAATTTAATTAGACACACACATACAGCAGAAATGTTCGACATCAGAGAAATATCTTAAAGATATTACATATCCCAAATATATTTTTAAGATACTTCCATAATGTAGTATTTTGGACACATCTGCTGTGTCAGTTTTGAAATAATTTTGCTGAACCAAAATTATGTAGGAAACTGCAGAAGAGTGACAAAATATTCAAAATTGCAATGCTGCAAAAATATTTAAGCAATTAGTTTGAGCATTCTACGTAATTATTTTAATTAGTCCAACATAACTATTTTTTCAGATCTCTAGCTAAATTTATAAATACTTCAGTAAAATTATTTTTTTTCTATGTAATCGTTTATTATCGTTCCAAGAAAATCAAGTGCTGCGTCAAGTGCTGAGTAAAGTTCACAAAGCATATATCCCCTCGAGATATTCTTAAAATGTCTGCAAGTACATTCACGAACGTAACCATCCATTAACGATTTGGGATTCCTATCGATAAGTCATCATTACGTTCAAAAAGTCATTAAAATTCAAATTTATTCATTTTTTGATCACAGTATTATTGCAATTACCTTATTCTTTATCCCAAAGAAAAATATTTTATATATAATTATATAAAATTATATAAAACTATACATCATTTTATTACATATTTGTACATAAATGGATATATTTTATGTATAATTATATATAATTCTATATAATTTTATATAATTATATATAAAATATTTTTTCCCGAGATGAGATTTTATTTACAAAATCTTTATAAAATATCATTCAGTTGGAAAACTCATTTTGTCCGTATTACGTAAAATATGTATTGACATACATTAGAAGAAAATTAAATAGTTTCACAAAAAATTTATTAGCAAAGCGATGTTTGATGGTAATTATGTATCTCGAAACGTTTTCATTGCTCAATCGCTGGTGGAGTGACGATAGATTTGTACCGTCGAAGCGTTAATTATATATCGCACGTGTATAATTGCACTTCGTGTACACCGAGTAAAATATTAAATTGATTGGTGACAATTAAATGACCTATATTAAACAATATTACATATTAATAAATAATTAATCTTGTATTAATATATGACGATATTTCAACGTGTAGCGCGATTATTTCTGTTCGCATAATATATAATGTTTCAGATTTTTGGTTATTAGCTTTCTATCGTATCAGCTAATTGATCTCAAGATTTTTCAAATCGCGTTAACAAGAATTTCTAATTTTTTTAAATTTAAGAATATATGCAAAATGAGCTTCAATCGTAGTCTGTGTTATATCAAATCTGATATGCATGTCTATTAAGTTGACATAGTCACTGCAGCATAATTGTGAATAAAATATAAACATAAATTTAATAATTTTTTGTTGCTTATGTGTTGCCTTCATGATTTTATTACTTTAGCCAGTTTGATAAAATACCTATGATAATTTGAGCTTATAGTTAGCACATATTAGTCGTAGAAAACATCAAAACCTAATAACAAAATATATATAAGTTGAAAGAAGATAATTTGCTAAATCTAAAGCGCATAATATCTTTTGTATGCATGATGTGCATGACTACGGTTGTTATTTCTCCAGTATTTACAATGTTTTCATGGAGACTTTGGCTTTTGACTATGGCTATCGGGCACGCGAAAAACGCTCACAATTTTGATGATCTTTTTTTAAATGCGTACATCAATTTTCTTCCAGTTTTTAGAAAAATGTTTTTGACAGGAAAGTCAAATCTGATAACTTTTTTTAGAGAGAGCATTACGAGAAGGTTCCAATTTTCGATCTTCGGCAGAATAGCTGAATTTTCGATCGCAAAGTAGTCAATCTCTAGTGGAACGAAAATGATAAGCATAAAATCGTAAAATAATAATTTTATTAAATATCTCGAATGTCTTTTTTATTAATTTGCTTGATTCTGATTAAAAGTTTGATTTATTATATTTTTCTCCATCTTTGATTTCCAAAAATAATCATTAATTATTTCGCGTAAACGCAAAACACTAAATTTGCAAATTCAACAAAAATCTCAATAGATTGTATCTTTTTGATTTTGTTATTTAATTTTTTTAGATCCTATGCAAAAAATAAAGATACTCTGCAATGTACGTCAAATTTGAAGATAGTATTCGTTGAAACTTGAAACTAATGTGGTTTTATCGACAAGAGAAGGGAATCAAATGTCCCACTCTGATTTTGATGAAACTTTTGATATGTCCATTGTAGACGAAAATAAGGGTTATTTTATGTATGTCTTATTGCTGTATGTTTTAGGGGGGAAAATCATCAAAATCAAATGTTTAGGCCCCTTCTTTTTTAAGATTAAATGTAGATATAATAATGGAAAAAATAGTCAAAATTAAAAAAAAAATTTCGAAAAAAGTTAATTTCCTCTAGTATAAATTATTTATTAAGGTGCTCTTAAATTAAATTAAAAATATATTTAACATGGTTCTATTAAAATCAGATTGAAAAAGTTAATGTACTGACTCGAATCTTCTGCTTTGTTTTGTCGCAGCTAGTTTATTTTTCTCGAAAGTTGTATGAATAGTCGGC